GATGTCATGATGACAAAAGCTAATTTCAAAAGCGCATGCTTATTTTTTCTGACTTGTCTGAAATGTTTGTTGAAATTCCTGAACATTTATTTATTTTTTTTTAACAGAATATAGTGCAAGTGGTCAGAGAGACTAAAAATCTGGCTTTAATAAAATAATTTTTTGAGAAAATATTATTTAAGTGCAACAAACCTCAGGCTTATGGCATTCAACAAGTTGTAAATGTATGTGTATTGTAATCCTAACTCTGACACGTCATATGTTTGAGAAACAGAAAAAGTTAATCTTTCTAAATCTCATTTTCCAAATCGGTAAATGGGAAAAATAGCACCTCCCAAAAGATATGAGAAAATGTCTTTAAAACACTTATTACAGTGCCACCAATGTTCAGTAAATGCTATGCATAATAATAATAACTATTATTATTAATAGTAGTATTCTTATCACAATCACTTAAAGATAAATTTTAGTATGCCATAATATTATTGAAATTTTATAACATAAAAGTAAAAGTAATGGAAATATCCAGGGTTTTATATAGTTCCTTACTTAAGACATAAACTTAGACATGAATATATATCTATACATTCATGTATGTCATTGTTATTTATAAAATATGTACTAATATATAATAAATGGAAAAATCATTTAGACTGCTAGCCTCATGACATACTGCCCCTTCTATTGACTTTATAGAAAAGGCAAGTGAGTTAACATCCCAAAAACTTAATCAGAAAACACATCTTCTTTTATTTTTCTGTTTTTTAAATCTATTTTACCCTTGTTTCCTTAAAAATATTTCCACTCCTTAAAGTCTCTTCTGTATGGTTAAAACATTATTCATTTTACTTACATTTTGTACTAAAGTTACGTATATTCGTATTTTGTCTTTCTGCCTATACAATGCTTAGTATAATGTTTTGCTGATAGTATATATCTAATAAATATTTTTGAATGGGTAAACATATTAATGAGGTTACTGTATTAATTAGCTATTTCTCCATAACAAACCACTCCAAAACTCATTAACTTAAAATCATGACTTCTTATTATTGCTCATTCCTTTATAGGTCAGCTGGATTCCTCATGCTTCTGTGGGCAGCTATGCATTGAATGGGTATATTTGCTGATCTTGGCTGAGTACTCTCACATAACTTGAGCCTTGAATAAAACAACTAAGTTTTCCCAACTTTGGCCACATAGGTGCTCATTATCTAGCAGGTTAGCATGTTCTTGGACTCATGGTGGCTGACAAAGGAGGGAAACAACAAATGCAAGTGTGTAAAGCCTCTTGAAACTCAGAACTGGCATAATATCTATCATGCTGCATTCTGTTTGACCAAAAAAATGACAAGGCCCACCATTTTGATGGGAGATACTGCAAAGCCACATTGGAATAACAAAGATACAATGGAATAATCAAAGCCATTTTTAACAAAAATCTACCACTCTATAATCTTCTCTGCCCTACTCTTTTCCTAGGAAACTGAAGTTATAATTCTATTAAGGTAATCCTTTGACATTCATATATATATATATAATATATATAAACTATTCTCACATCTTCTTAAATATTTCCTTGGATTAACTTTCTCAGTTATTTCATTGACTAGGCTGTCTGTTTTATGCTGAAATCCTGACTAATAGAGGTGCAATATGGATTTTATTTCAAAGTTAAAATATTTGTTGCATTCAGTTGAGGTATCTTTACTTTAAGGAATTAACACTTGTTCAAGACATAAAATGTGCCCAGATTTTTAAATGTTTAATTGTATTTTCCAAGTCTTAAATATACTAAGCACATAGCAAAAATTTCATGTATTGAAATAATCAAATGTTTAATTCCTTGAATTCAGATCTCATCTCTATCACTTGCTTGTTGACCACCTAGCAAGTTACTTTTCCTTATCAGTAAATGAAAATAATGCAATTACTTACTTTATAAGTAATTATAGGTTTTTGTATAGCAATTATGTAGTAATTATGAGAAATACATAAGATATTAAATAGAAACTGCTTAAAAGAATGTCTAAGAAATTTTAACTTCTTAATAAATAATTATTGAGTATTAACCCTTTGCACTCAGATGTTGAATGTAGATAATGTCGGTGGATAATGAGAAAAAAGCAAGTGAGTGCAAAGGGTTGATAGTATACCAATAGTAGTAAGAGTGTGCTAAAATAGATATACTTTTTGAGAATTTTTGAGTATGTGTGTGTATATATACATATTCATAAATTTTATTTAAGGGCTAATATTTCTATCAAATTTTATATTATAATTTAAATATTCCATTACTGTAAAATAATTTAGATATTCCTAATATCTTACTATAAAGAAATATCTCTAAAATCAAGATCTTTGCATACAATTGTTTTATAGTTATGTATATATTGCAATTATATATTATTGCAAAAGAGTTAAAGAGCTGCAATTATTAGATAAATGATATAAACTTAAAAAAATCTACACATACATTCCTATTGCTTTCATTTACCTGTTTTAACCTCTATGACTGAAGTATGAAGGACCTCATTTCCTAAAGCAACATACATATTATCATTTTGAAAGTCTTTGCTAATCCATTTTATAGATGGAAGAACATGCCTTCTCTTGTCTTTCCTAGGTACTGTGAGGTGATGATTTGAATTAGATGTACTCCAGGGACCCTAAGAGAAGTTGATTTTTAAAAAGTTTATGCAAATACATTTTCCATATATTAATTAACTCATTGTTTTATTCTGAAATAACTGCTCACATCATTTGCCTCTTCATTCATTCCACTCATAGAATTTGAATACTAATATTCTAGTTTCATGTAATTTCTCACCTTGATGTCTTTATATAGTCATTTCCTGGGCTTTGATGCTAGATCTATCCTCTGTATCTCATGCACGCACAGCACTGAAGCTCACTGAACCTGAAATGGCCCTTTTAGAAGCCTTGCTCACTTTATCATTACCACACCGCTATGTAAAGACCAGTGACAGCCTGTTGTTTTAGTTCTTGAATTATGCTGACATCATTGTTTTCTTTCTGGAACATAGTGTTTGTAGTTCATGACAAGAGGAGACGTGTTTCCTTTTTTATCCTCTCGTTTCAAATATGTAGCGTTTTTGTTATTTGCAGTACTAAACTGTATTTATAACTCCTCTAGTTGAGGAGAAAGCCTTCTTGTATATATAACTCAAAGGAAGTTTGACTTCTTTGATTCCAATTTTAAATAGAGGTCCCTGAAAACCAACATGTATCATAGTGACTTAGTATGTTAAAAAAAATGGACCAATTTTAGGAACTTTGATGGATATAAAGCTAAAAGTTGACTATTTTCTGCTACAGAAGTATTTATAAAACCAAGAAAGGGTTTACAAAAAGCCCCTGGATCACTATATGAGAATGCAGACTCTGGTAAATCTATAAATGATTTATTTAGAGGGAGAAGATGTTATGATTATTGAGGTCAGCTTTTCATAGAGACAGGTGCAGACTTGAGCATGGGCTTCAAATATGAGATATTTCATAAAAGCTGTTTCTACACGAAGAAAGAAGGCAAAGCTTTGTGTTCAGACTTTGGAATCTGGTTGGTTCCAATAGTAACTCACAAGTTGACATTCAGCATCATTTTCTCCTCATATGGTGTTTCCTTTAGCAAAATGTAAATCTATTGTTATTTTTAGAAGTGCAAATGCTTGGAGGATTTAGGGGTATAATTGAATATAATATTTCTCATTTGCTCACTCTGTGCTAACACTAGGCCAGGCTTTCACTTATTGTATTCCATTTACAACAACCCTGTGAGGAGCACACATGTTTAACAGACATAGTGATGAGGATATAGAAGATTAAATGTTACTCTAAAAATAATAAATACCAAATTCAGTTTGTCCTATTCCAAAATTCAATTTTTTTACCACTGAAGTAATTTCTAGAAAGTAAGATAATTTATAGAAATTTAAGAGATCTTGTATAATAAACTACTCAAATCTTTTGTTCTTGAGAGCAAGTTTGGTGTATAATAATAGAGATGATGATGATATAATAATAAAGTTGGCGGTGATGATGATTATGATGATGAAGATCTACAGTATTGAAGACCTACAGCTCTGCTGTAGGTTCTTTAACATATGCCTTATGTATCTTCCCTATATTAACTGTTAGAAAAGCCACATCACAAAAGCATTGCTATGCTTTAAAAGATAAAGAGACAAGAGCCTACATACCTTATTCAAGGTTGTTTAGCTAGTAAATATCTCAGCTGAAGAAATACAATATTTAGTCATGGCCATTAATTACTACAATTATATATAGTAATCTGTTAAAATACACATTAACCAAATATGTCTCAAAGCATTTCCCATGCCACAAAGCATGTTATACCTTGCACTTTAATTAGTTCTACAGTATTCTTGAGAGCAGCCAGTTCTGTAAATACAGTGGACTGTTCTGTTATGATCTGGAATCTATTCTTAAAGTTGTCTCAGCACTTTCAAACAAAAATCAGGGCTTTAGGTATAATTTCAAGTGAAAATATCTATATATTATAATGAAGAATCTATGATATTAGATATCACTCTAAAAACATATACCTCCCCAAATATTACATTCTTGCCACACCTATATTCAGCAGTTTGGTGCTTTGTTACTTAAATATTTCCTTTTAATACTTTCCTGTGTTGATTACATTTAATCTTTCTGTTGAAGCTATTGCAGTAACTGCCTCCTCCTTTGCATTCTTCAACAAGGTGTTTCTATTGCCACTAAAATCTGAAGTGGAAACCACACCAAAATACATGTGTGTCTCAGGTAGTGAACCTCAGTGTGCTCATTGTCTGAGACAGTTTCTGGTTCTCATTAGAATCCTAGATTGCTGGAAGTGTTTCACTCTTATCCACCAGAGGGGGGAAAAAAAAAAAAAAAACAGTTGAAACTTGCTATGCTGCACTGAATTCTAAGGCAGACTAATCAATCTAATTCCGTCTAAACCTATTTGCCCTGTCCAGGAGATCTGCTAATGAGGAATGCCAGTAACTCCTAGTTCCTGACACTGCTTTCCAAAAGTGAGTTAATGAACCAATTTAAAGGGACATGCTTGACATTTGCAAATTAGTTTAACTGGCTTGTTGGGGTAGCTTTGAACTGCATTGAACTGATATGGTTGTCATTAAACCATCCCATCATGTGAGATTTTTATACTTCGGTAAACTTTAAAGGATATCTTAATAATTGAATAAATTCATGTTATCATATAGTATTTTGAAAATTTCTTGATTATGATGCCGAAGTTTTAGAATTTTTAAAATGTTATTCCTTCAATTTCCACAATAATATTTTGCAATTTTATGATGATGCCTATTCCCAATTGGAAGTAGCACAGCTTTTGCGAAAAAGTGTGTATTGTCAGTAATTACAGACAGTTCAGTGACTTTACCAGAATGTACAGAAGGTGGGTTTGATGTTTTAACTATCTGCCTCATGGGAGATACAATCTGAGGTTTCTAGGCAACAAAGCATAATATATTTTATTTAAAATCTACTCAGAAAGGAAAAAATATACCAAATTAGGTTCTTTTTAAAAGAGCATATACTTTAATTATAAAAGAAATATGTTATATGAAAAGTGGAGTATATTCACAAAGGAATTCATTTATCAGTTTATAAAACATATTTGTAATACCTGCTATATTTTAGGTCCTGAGCTAAACACTGGAATGTAAACATGAAAGAAATTGTCTACTGTTCTGTATCACTCTTGTGTTAAAACTAGGAAATTTTATTCATGGTCTGAACAAACTTTGTGCATAAACTCAGGAAACTCAAGAAATAGGAGAGACTGATTCGCCTCCAGTGCAGAAAATAAAGAAGGAAATAAACATCTACAAAGCTAGTACTATAATACAAACATGGACAAGATGCTATTAGAACAGAGAGAGAGAAGTAGATAATAGCATTGTCAGGTCTGGCAGAGTAGCGTGGTAAAGTTCATTTGGAAGACAAGGTGATGTCTGAGTCAGGCCTTCAAAATTAAGAAGAAAAAACTTACGAAGGAATAGAAATCTCCCATGTATGTTGGGGAAAGAAAATATGAGCTAGTATACAAGGATTAACACTCAGAACAAAGGAAATCTTGGGCAAAGGGACAGAGGTGAAGAATGTGAACTGTTTAGAGAAGAGTAGAGAAACAAATATTGTGGTAAAATTCAAAGATTATCATTACTGGGTAAATTGTGATTATCTTATAGTTTTGGTTTTTTTTCCCCCCTTCGAATTAGAAAGGAGGGGAATTACCCTCCTTTCTTCAGCCATGGGTATCTGGGTGCGGCAGGAAGCTTATGGGATTTCATGAAGTAGGGAACAGTAACATATCTGATTGTGTGCTCTTGTTTTGATGTCTACCAAGGTAGGACATCATCATTTTAAATGAAAGATTCAGTAAAGAAAGCACTAATTAATGGATCTAGAAGATTTAAATAAGCAGAAAATGGATGGGGTAGAAATGAGTATTCAAGGTAAAGAAAAAAATTACAGTGAGGTGAGATTACTTTGTATTGTGCTCTGGTAGAGAACTAGAATTTTAAAAGAGCAGTGGTCAGCCTGAATGATGTGCTGTGATAGGAAGCTGTGAACACAGAGAGATTCATGGTCAATGATGCATATGAAAAGCAGAGAAAATAGGATAACATAATCTTTATATTGTCCCATTTACTTATAATATTTCTATTTCTTTTCAATTTATATTAGTACTGCCTAAAAGGAGCAGATTTGGCAAAATATTCTGTGGTTATTATTTAATTAAAAAAAAAAAAAAAGATGGGGAAGCTACCTGTTCTGTTTCAGTTCTCATCCCCTAAATATGTATCACACACTAACAACTTTTTCTGGCACCCAATCTACTACTTGGCCCTACTATTCAAGATTCCTGTTGTTTCATTTCCTACTCTTCTAACTGTTAAGGGAATCAAATCTTCAGAAATATTAATAGAAATGCTGGGAGTAAGACCTCCTTCAGCACGATTTTGAACTTGACAAACTACAGTGCAGCTGTTTACATCAGAGTTGTCTTATCTTTGCAGGATGGATAAGGAGATTGAATAACATTTTAGTCATGGTTACTGTAAGAGACTTTATTTTTTACAAAATGATATTTAAATGAATCTAGTTCTCTAAGAAATAGTTTAAAACTCCATAGCTATAACTGCTGTCAAACTCCCTAGTTCAACAGATAGTATGAAACATAGTAACAAAAGAAGCTTAATATTTAAAAATCTTTGCTACAAGAATACTATGTGGGTTCCTAGAGAGAAATGAAATAATCCATAAAAATAAAAAAAAAATCATGATTTATATTTTCAAGCAAACAAAACGATAAGCACTTTTAGGATAAAATATGAAAAACTTTATAGTATACCAAAAGATTTTAACTAAATGAAGTAAAAATGTGATACTTCTCTTGAACTGTTTAAAAATATACCACATTATCAAAACTTGCAAATCCTAACTAAGCTATATTATTTTAAATATTTTCAAAAACCTGTACTAAGGTTGTTTTTTCTGTTCTCTGAATTTGGAGTATGTCAAATGTAACTTTTCGATAATAATTTTAAATTTTTGAGGAAATTATGTATGTATTGCTTAGAAAGAAAAGCTTTGGGGAGACATAAAAACTGTCTTTTAATATTTAAAAGGCTATCATGTCTAAAAGACTTCAAGGAGATGATGCTCTTTCATTGGAAACATTTAAAGCAGAAGTTATATAAAAACTCAATATACTGTATGCAGAGAACTTAAATAGGTGGTTGAATCTGTTGACATTTATAGTTCATTCTATTTTATACAGTCAATTAGGGAATGTGTTTCATTTGACAAAAAAAAATAGTTTTATTGTATGTTTCTGAACATTGAGCAGAAGAGGTAGAGATGCCTCCATGAGGTTTATAAAGAATGTTTTAAAAAGTTAAAAAAAATTACTGTAGCTTTAAACAGGAAAAGTAGTGTCTTCTAGGTTAAGTTCTACCTATAAGACTATCTCCTATTACTCAAATATCCTTCCCTCATTCTCTACAAAAGCCAACATCCTACAGGGAAGTTAAGAACTGCCATCCTTAGAGCTATTGCTTATTGAAATTATACCGTTCCATTAATCCTATCTGACTACAGGTGGCTTATCTGAGAGTATGGAGGGTCGGCACATTAAATGTAGGTATGCTTATGAGATTCCAAGTCTAAGACTTACTTTGAAGAATTTAATAGTTGACTGAAAGAATGATGGTAAGTAGATTATATTATATGTTTCTTTGTGTGTGCTTTGAACATGCATACTCGCTAAGAACCAAAGAAAGTATAGCTTTATAATATTGCATCAGAAAATCACTACTTTTTTGAAAATATTTTAATATGACCAAGTCACATCACTCTAAAGTTAAATATGCTAATAATAATATTAACTATGAATGAGAAGGAGGAGGAGAAGGAGACAGAGAAAGAGAAGGGAGAGCAGGATTATTGTTCCAGTATTCTCTTCTCATTTAATTCCACATTCTCAAGGCCCCTTATCCTCCTCTTCACTTTGGTATGTTTAGGGTGTTTTGTCAGCACTGTGCTGCAGATGTCTATGCTTACATGGGAAATTGAACAAGAAAAATCTGTTTTCTTTGTATTTTTCCTTGCTAACATCCAAGCATAAGCAAAAATGTATGTAAGCAAATGAGCCAAATGATTATGGGTAATTAGCTTGTGGAATATATGAAAGCAAATTGTTTGCTATATATAAGCAGTTTTTTTTTTTTTTACAAGATTATATTATCATTAAAGCATATCTGGAGCCAGCCAATTAGGACATTCAGTGAAATTTAGCCAATTAGGAGTCAACTCTGTGAGCATTTCTGCAAGAAGTTTTCTACAACGTTCAAATGGTTTTGTAGTTTTGAAAATGATGTAATTTCTGCATGATGCTAATCTTTTGATATTAAAAGAATGTAGTAATTTAATCTCTTTAAAATGATAACCTTTAAATTATGCCCTTATCACAGCATTTGCTATCTTCTTGAGCTCTCCAATGAGGTAATTGATCTCATTGTTATTGTGTGTCAATTTTGCGATACATAATTTGGTTCACTCATTTATCACACTTTATAATCACCATGGATGATGACTACAGCTTTAATGTAGTTCTGTTTTTGATTAGTGTAATGTCGTTTCCAAGTTTCATTATCTACAAAGGATTAGAAGAATTGTGTCTCTATGCCTGTCAAGTTTCACACTTGAAAACTAAATTCACTTCAAGTAGACTATTAAAACAAATTTTATTAAAGCACCCTTGCTTGAATAAAAGGAGCTCTTATTTTGAAAAATTATTTATATGACAATAAGAATTCTTAACTAGATAGTTTAAAGAGCTAATGCATCTAGGTCACAGTTTCACTAGTTTGTGAATGTTACTTATTCTTATCTATGATCTCCAGAGTATAAAAACATATTTAATGGGATTTGGGACTCTGTATTTGGCTTCCAGATCATCATGGATGCATCAGAAAGAGTGGCATGTAAATATTTAATAATTAGATCTAGGTTTTCTTCCCAGCTCCACCACTTACTACTATTTGTTGTTAGACAACTTACTCACTTTCTATTTCTCAATTCCTTGTCTACATAATAGAGATAATGGCACTTTGGAGTTAGTTTCTAAGAATTACTATGAGGTGATAATATTTATATGAAAGCACTTAACATATTGTCTGAACTAATAGACATTCAATATTTTTTATTCTCTTATATCCTCTACAATTGTACCAGATATATTTTTGTCATTACTTATTACACTAACATTCATTAGTGGTCAGTGCCTTCAATTTTTATAAGAGTTATTTAAATATGTACAACATTTTTATTAATTAGGGTGGACTAGGAGTAGATTATTTGGGTGGAAAATAAATCATCTCCATTTTTTTTCTTACTCTGTTGATATACATGTTATATATACACGTCTCCCATATTGTAACATTGCACGTCATCTCAGAAGGAAGATTACACTATTGGGAGTTTATTGAGTGGTTGACACCTT